AAAACAGGGAAATGAGGGATGAAAATGTCGGCGTTTCGTTGAACCCTTTCTCGCTCCAGAATTAAAAATATCGACAGACTAAAAAACGATGCGACAGAGATAATGTAAAAATGAAAATGATATAAATATCAAAGTCTGATATTTCTCCGAAGTGTAGCTTTTGTTCTTTGACAGTTAAAAATAATACTACGTTGTGACTAATTAGTTGTTGAAAATTTTTTAAAAATAATTGAGAATTTGGAATTAAAAGAAAAATTCATTAAACGTGAAATATTTTTCTGGATACAATTAAAGATTGAAATAAAATAATGAATAATAGATAGAAGATAAATTAAAGTTGTTCGAAATGGGTTGTACTGAATTCTAATCAAACTATTATAATTAAAGAAATACAAAATTACTAAATTATTAAATGCATCGAGAAAATAGAAAATTGTAGAACAGAATTTTTGAAATACAATTTTTCGAACTATCAATTAATCAAATAAGATATCGTTCCATTTATCGTTTCGTTCCTCGCGATTGAATGATATCGGTAATCAAAATTCCAATATTCCCGAAGACCCCTGTTTCCCATAAACGGATATTAATCACTATGTTGATCACTCCTCGATCAGCAATGTGAATGGACGGAGTTTTTGCTTTTTCTTTCCATTTGCCAGCTCGAACCGTCGAGGCTGTGTATCGGAATTTTTTTTCTCGTAATTATTTCGTTAATGAGACTCTGCTGCGCGAGGCAGCACAGTTACATACACGTCCGCGTATGAAAATTTTCATTTCAGATCGTTCCTTTGATTCTCATGGTTTATGAATAGCCCGCCATTCCATTCTAAAAACGTCGTCAGATGTATCCTTCTTGGATGAGAACGAAACGAACGCGCGATTGAATCGATAGCTATCTCGTTTTCAACGGGAGGCGAGGAGGCGGTTGTGTAATATTAATTAAACTTCCAGATTTAGCTGTAATTGAAGAAGAAATAGAGAACGCTTACAAATTATTAATTTCTACGTTTGAATATTTTGAATTAGTTCAGTTTGTTGTGCTTCGTCGCGATACAGAGTTTTTATTTAAAATATTTTCATTATTTAATTCTTAATTTGTAGACTGTGATCCGGAATGTTTCACGTTTAGTTTAATCGAATACTTTGAAATTTATATTGCAATTTACGTTACGATCGGAAAATGAGGATTGAATCTCGAGGAAGTACAAAATTTACTTTACCATTTGGAAATATGAGTTCGAGCATAATTCTAGAATAAAATTTGATTGAAACAATATTGCAAATTATCATTTTTCATTTCTAAATTTTTTTTAAGCGTTATCTAAAACAATGTCCATCGATATTTAATATAATTAAAAATTTAAAAAATCATCGGGAATTTCATCGGAATATCCAATAAAATATTACAAAGATTCCCATGTTCCCATACAAAGGTTCCTTTCAATTCTCCATTCTTCGGAATCAGTCTTGATCTTGGACCTTTTCGAACGAAACTGACAAATTAAACAGATTCAAATAAACATCGAACAGAGATTCTTGATTTAACTCGTTTAGCTCTCAGCTCTGAACGAGAATGTTCAAGATGTTTCAATCTTTCTCGTTTGATGAGGCGTGTAAAATTGCGTGCAAAATAAACTGGCCGACGTCTTTCCTTTGCTTCGAGCCGTTCTCAACCTTAACCCTAATCCGAAACAAATCGTCGAACATGAAAGCGAGAGGCACTATCCCCTTGGTCGAAAACATCCAAAATATAAATGGATAACGTCTGTGGGAGGTGGGAATCTTATAGGTTATCCCAGGTCGTGTTTATCCGTGGCGGCCGATCTGTCCCGCCGTCGATAAAACCCCTTGACAGTGGCGGCCGATGGCAGTCCGACGCCGGCCGTCGTTGCGAGCGGATATGTCGAGGCTTGTCCCACTTCCGCTTCGTCGGGACCGCGTACGCGATTCGAAGAACCCCGAGGGTCTCGTCGCGAATCGATCGGTGATCTCTCAACTGTTCCATCATGAACCAGTAATGATTCTTGATCGTCGATGAAACTTCAGAGGTGATAGCAAGTTCGTGTCTCTTCTCTGTTTCTCGTTCTTTTTTTTTTTTTTTTTTTTTTTTAAATCTTTTAACGTTTCGATATTTAAACACGATGGAATTCGTTGATATAAAATTCGGATATGGTTTAAACGAAAAGAAGCATTGCCGATACACTCTGTAATATCGGATGGAAGTAGTACAATTTAGCAGTTTGAACAGTGAATTACCAGCTAATTAATTTGAATGGACACTTTAATCGAAAATTGGAGAGAATTTTAAATTGAAAGTTAAGCTGAAAGAAGAGGGAATGGTCGATATATATATTTTCCTTTCGTGAGAAATAGAATCTGTCGATAGAAATTTGAACTTTGTTATATGAAATTTGCCAAATATAATGCTACAATTATTTAGGAGTTTAAACAATGAATTAAATAGTGAAAATTGAAAGCCGAAAGGATCGTTAGAGAGGGAATGATCGATGTATCTTTTTCTAGTAAGAAATAGGATCTGTCAAAATGTGATTAGTATTAGAAATTATTCGTGAATTTGAACTCTTTAATACCGAATAGAATTTGCTAAATGTGTCGGTATAATTATTTATGAATTTAAACAGCGAATTGCCAGGTGATTAATTTGAACACTTTAATCGAAAGTTGGAAAGAATTTTAAGTTGAAAGAGGGGGAAGGGGAGATGATTTTAATAAGAAATGAAATCTGTCGAATATGATAATATCAGAAATTATTCACGAATCGGAATTGTGAATTACCAACAAATTAAACGATTTACATCAAAACTTCAATTAATAATTGGACAAACAGAATTTTAAGTGTTGAAAGAGAAAGTCATCGATACATAAACAGAACCGAGTAAATGTGATACTATTAGAAATTATTTACATGAATTTAGACAATTCCTAAAATTCCTGAAATTCATTTAATAAACTGTTTTAAACAAAATATTGTCCGATGAATACTATGTTTTTAATCAATATCTCTCCGAAACAGATTCCTCCAAGCATGAAGTACAAAAATTTCCACGATCGACAAACTGTTTTAAACAAAACGTCGATCAACATGCAGTAAAATTCGCGACGAGCAATAATCGGCGTAATTTCCAAACACGAACTAGAATCTTCCAAACAAAACGCTCGAAAATTCTTTCAAAAGTGTCGATCAAATCGAATTGAAGAGAAATTTACAAAGTAAGTTTGTGCAGTAAGAAGTACGTGTGTGCGTATCTTAAATAAGGAGAGAAGTATTGACGATTCAGAGCGAAAAAAAAGGCAAAATACCGAGGGGTTGTCAACAACAGGATGAAAATAAAAGCGCGATGTCGACGAATGTCACGGTTTGCGTGGAAACGAGCGTCCGAGTAAATGGGCGAGCGAGTGTTCCTTGTTTCCTTGTCTTTTTTTTTTTT